ACACACACACACACACACACACACACACACACCATGTATACATCACTTCAGGGGACATTACATTGACTTACATGCATTTCCTGGAGACTTATCCTAACCTTAACCATAACCAAGTCTTCACCCTAAAATTAATGATTCCCCTCATGGGGACCTCCAATTTGTCCCCATAAGGGAGGCGAGTCCCCACACGTGACTGTGTAAACAGATTTAGGTCCCCACAAGTATAGTATTGCTAGGCCACACACACACACACACACCCACACACACACACACACACATCTTACCATGTTTATCTATTTCGGTATTTTATATACGCATAATATTTTCAGAAAACTTGTAATACAATAATTAATTGTCTAAATGCCAATTATGACATGGGGAGGTTTCATGATGATATCTGTTAGTTAAATGTTTGACCCTATCACCTGTAGTGTGTACAACATGTATGCATTTCACAATACAATTTAAAGTCTGCTCTGATTGGTTAGCTGGCCGGCTCTGTTGTGATTGGTCAACCTGCTTAGAGATGTCCCGCCCCTTAGCCTATCACGTACAATGTGTTGGAGCGCTAGCCAATAGAAACGTGAGTGTAACATAGTGTGTCATTATGTTCTTAACATCCACACAAACCTATTTAGCACACTATAGGAAAGGGAATAAGGCTTCTTTAATTATATACATTTGCATTATTAAACATAACAATACAGAAAACTGGTCTTACAAAACACATTATAATTAAAAGTAATTCATCTGGGGAAGTTTCACGTTGATATCCATTAGGTAAATGTACCACATTAGATCAGATGCATTGCCTTTAATATAGAAGCATGACTTAATGGCTGATCCTGTGTTTGCACTTTACGGTGACCCTCAGTGCACATTTCCTCGCTCACTCATTTCCCACCTCGTTGTCTATTTTAACAAACACTCTAATGAGAAGTGTCATCGCGGAGGCATCTGGCAATTAACCACCGAGCGGCAGCACAGGAACTGATCCGTACAGAACGTACAGTACAAAGAGATAACACACCACCATTATCTACTTCAAAAGGCTCATTCAGCACAAACTGCATCAGCAAATATTGAGACTAACTATCTGTAACAGGTGTTGATGACGGTGTGTGAGCACCTGCTCGGCCATTTCAAATGTGGAGGTGCTGCTCTTTGTTTTAGATATGACTCTGCATTTATCAGATGATTCATACGCTGCTTTTGTTACATTACATCACATGTCACTTAGCGTTTATCCAAAGTGACTAACACACATTCAGTACTCCGGACAATCCCCACAGGAGCAATTTGGGGTGAAGTGTCTCAGGGACACAACGACATGCTGACTGCAGTGGGACTTGAACTTTCTACCCTCTGATTCGAAGATCAGCACACTAACCCACTGAGCCACAGCCTCCCCGTTGTTGCCAAAGATCAGTCGAAAATACAAAACTAAGTGTAGATCTTGTGGGCGATTTGGCTCTTAGGTTTTGTAAATAATTCTATATATTTAGTCTTTATAATACTTATCAGTGCAAAACTATTATGTAGGAGAGAAAATCATATGGCTTACTGAAGCACTTTTGATCAGTTTTGCCCTTACTACTTAGCAACCTAGTAAATACTTAATAAGAACTTTTAAGTATTCAGAATCAACCACTAAATTCATGGCAAACTAATGCAATAAAACTACGAAATACTGTATGAGTAGAGGCATTGACAATTTAGCTCCTTTTTTACTTCTTTCTCCGTGTCTGGAGCTGAGTTGATGCTGTCTTTCACCCACATATCCTTTTAACATAATGTCTGTCTCACATATTTTTATTTTATTAACATCAAATTGGATTCCTGTTCACACTTAACACAATTAATCGTAAACGTGATTGTGGTTAATGCTGCAGTTAAAGGTCCCATGTCATGGCCATTTATTTCTACTGATCATAATTCCATTGTTGAGGTCTACGAGAATAGATTTACATTGTTCAATGTTCCAAACTCACATTGGTTTCTCATACAGCATCTCTGTATAGTATGTGTATTCACTCTCTGTCCTACACGGCTTGTTGGAGCTCCGCCCCCTCCCTGTGAGCCCAGTGTGCTCTGATTGGTCGGGACGTTGCGAGGCTCGTTGCTACGAGGAGCGGACAGGTTTCCCGGTCGGCGATACAGCGAGACACAGCGAAACTCATCCTGAGCACACACAAACACTCACAGCCGAAGTAAAAACAATAAGTGTGGCTTGATATTGAGTAAGAAAAAGGTTTGTAACGCTGTGAGAATGGGTCTGCGGAGAGCCATCCCAACTCGTCTATTCCCAGCGTTCAGGGAGCTCTATGCAAATCAATGGGACTCCCTGTTAGTTAGCCAAGGGGTCCTGGTGTGTGAGGGGCTCCACGGATTGGTCCATTTGGGCCAATCCGGTCATTTGTTGTTGATTTGGGTGTTCACACGTCACAGAACCCAGGAAGCAAACAATGGAAAAAGAGAAATGTCCAACGAGGCGTTCTGGGGCAGCATAGACAGGTCTTCTCTGTGTTAGAGTTTTACTCCCTACAGGGTGTACTTTGAGGGTTTGAGACTCTGCAGACCGTTTACATGCAGAAAAACCTTCATAACACACAAGGGGACGGGTGATAACCAGAAAAGCATGACATGGGACCTTTAATAATGAAACATAACGTGCTGTTGGATAGCTGCTAGTCGCTCTGTTAGTACAGGTGTGTGTCTGCATCAGGCGGGACAGATAACAGCTTTTGACCGCTGTTAAATTGTAGTTTTTTTATGGTTTGTCCACCTCTTTAAGGTCAAAAATGCTGCACTGAATGAAATAAAAATCTGTAGGTCAACCCTTTGACTGGCTCTATGAATCATCCTCCCACAATACCATAATAACATTGTCTCTGCCCTCAACCTTATCCAGAACAGTGACGATAAATCATCCCCCTCAAATCAGAGATACACGGTGCCTCGATTGAATAAGGATCAGATAACTCTTAAATTAAATATGGGGCTTAATCCTAGAACACATGCACGTTTAACGGTCTTTTTTATGTTGAATATTGAGATGCTGTGATTCGGGACAAAATGCAAAAACATAAGAAATATGTAAAAAATCCAATTATATTTCACAGTTAGCTGCAGATTGAGCTGATTTGATTCACCAGCGTTGATATTTAATAATGAAGCACACAGCAGTGGATGTTAACGTCACACTGACAGACGTAAACACAGGCTGTTGTTGTTGTTGCTGTTGTTGCAGGTCTGATTCCCCCGCTATCCTCTCAAAATGGAAATGAAGTGATCAGCATGAGTCAGCGTCTAGAAGTTCAATTTCCTGTCCCCCTTATTTTTATAAACATTTCCCTCCTGTGTACGGTTCACTTTAACCTCATAAATACATGATGGAGAAGTCTTTATATTTAGACAGCCGGACAGAACAGCAACAGTTGTCGTCAACAAAGAAAACGCAGTGTTTTATAACTAACAGTGTCACAACTGAGAGCTTTAAAACCGTGGTGCCTTCAGGGACATAGAGAAATAGAGGGCAGGAAAAACCAACACTCATTGGTTCTACTCCTAAAGCTGTTTTTGTACTTGATGCGATGCTAATGCTAGCTAGCCATAATTACCCGCCAATGCTTTTTTGCTTAAGGTCATTGTATTAATCAGGGTTTTTCTAGAAATATATAGTATGAGGTTATACTATGGCGCGGATCTTAAAGGTCCCATGTCATGCTTTTCTGGTTGTTACCCGTCCCCTTGTGTGTTATGAAGCTTTTTCTGCATGTAAACGGTCTGCAGAGTCACAAACCCTCAAAGTACACCCTGTAGCGAGTAAAACTCTGTCTATGCTGCCCCAGAACGCCTCGTTGGACATTTCTCTTTTTCTTCCTGGGTACAGTGACGTTCCCATACCCAAATGGACCAATCCGTGGAGCCGTTACGTTAAGTCCGTGGATTGGTTCAAATGGACCAATCCGTGGAGCCGTTACGTTAAGTCCGTGGATTGGTTCAAATGGACCAATCCGTGGAGCCGTTACGTTAAGTCCGTGGATTGGTTCAAATGGACCAATCCGTGGAGCCGTTACGTTAAGTCCGTGGATTGGTTCAAATGGACCAATCCGTGGAGCCGTTACGTTAAGTCCGTGGATTGGTTCAAATGGACCAATCCGTGGACTTCCTCACGCACACACACTCAATCTTTTCTCAGCTGCAGCTCCGCCGATTTCTCCTCCCTGAGACGGCGAGGCGGTGAGGCTGTGAGTCGGTGT